GGGAAAACACTGGAAAACTCTCGCAATAGTTACTTTAATATAATATAAATATATAATATGATATAATATAATATAATATATATATTATATAGTATTATGTAGTATAATATAATATAGTACACACGAACGCATGCACGCACACACACACACCCACACACACACACACACGCACGCATGCACGCATGCACACACACACACACACCCACGCACGCACGCACGCATGCACGCACGCACGCATGCATGCATGCACACGCACGCATGCATGCACACGCACGCACGCACGCACGCGCAAACGCAAACGCACACGCACGCACGCACGCACGCACGCACGCGGTGGAGGGCCCACCTTCTGGGGGCGGGGCGGCCACGGAATCGCGGGGAGGGCGACCGGCGGGGGCGGTCCCAATCACGGTGCCCTCTGCTGGGAGGTTCCGGCTCCGGACGCTTCTCCTGCGAGACAAACAAGTGTCAGTGTGATGAGACTGTGCTGCCATCTATAGGTTGTGAAATAAAACATTTGCTCATCTGGTTGGAAACACGCTACATCTATCGATCTCACTCTATCTGAATACGTTATAAGATTAGTAACGAGACCTTCTATTCACGCCGAACAAGTTTCCATCGCAGTTAACATACAAACATCTGATGAACATCTAACATCACAAACACTGCTACTGACCAGAATGCTGTACTCACACACACAGTCCGTCCGTCATCCATCCATCCATCCTTCTATCTCTCGCTCTTTCTCTCTCTCTCTCTCTCTCTCTCTCTATCGCTCTCTCTCTCACTCTATATATATATGTGTGTATGACCACACCATCATAACAACGACCACAGTCACATTGGATGCTGCGCGGTTACCGTGGCAATGCCCCTGCGTACCTTCACCACCTCCTCCTCTTCCTCCTCGTCAGACTCCATGTCAAGGTCATCCTCCAGCGCACTGACTCGCATCTCCAGCTGCTCTGTCTCCTCCAGGATCTGTCGCTTCTGAAACCCGGCCAATGAACCAATCAATCAATCAACCAATCAATCAATCAACCAACCAATCAATCAATCAGTCAATCAATTAGGAGCCATTGTCATAAACACCGTAAATAGTTGCAAATCGTGATAAGAACAGTAACAGTAACAATAAGGACAACGACACAAACAATAACAACAGTGACATCACCACCACCATCACCGCTAACAATAACAATGACAACAACAACAACAACAACAACAACAACAACTATGACATCATCACCACCATCACCGCTAACAATAACAATGACAACAACAACAGCCACAACAATGACAACAACAACAACAACAACTCGTCACCTCACCTGTATATGAGGGAGTATTACGTCACATGACCTGTCCTCTCGCAGCAGTTCATCAATGAATTCATCCACGTGCAGCAACTCAAACTCTGCAAAGACGCAACCCGACGAAAAAAACAATCAACCAACACCCGGAGTCAGACTAACGAGGCTGGGTGCAAAATGGAAATGAGAGATACTCAAACGAGATACAAGAATTATTGTTCCGTTTCGGGCGCAATAACGGTCTGCTTGAACAATGCTGTCGAGTGCGTGGAAGGCAGACGTAATCAACGCGATACAATAACTATTGTTCCAGTTGCAATGACCCTTCTGCTTGAACCGACTCGGCTGCTTACTAGCAGCAGATTACAAAGACGCGCTATGATTAGCTGCTGCTGCAGCACACCAATAAGTGTGCGTGCATTTAATTTTACCAGACGCATGCATGCAATAAATGATAAAGACAACCGTACGCTCGTTACGCGCACACACGGTCTGATCAAACTTTGCAGACTCTCTTGTGGAACGCGCCTCTGGGTGCTTCAGGTGCGAAAACACACGACGGAAAGGGCAAAAAGACAGTAGCACGTCTAGGGATCGGTCAAACGCAGTCAGGCCACCCTTAAAAAATTGTTTGTTTCCCCTTTACCTACTCGCCTCTCAGGGTACCGAGTAGGTAGGTAGGTGAAAAATCTTTTTTATTTTGTTTTGACAAGATGTGTGTATGTATATTGTATATTCTGTTTTGTGTTTGCGAAAGGAATTTGTTTTTGTTTTTTTGGCGAAACGAAATAATTTTTGTTTTGTTTTAATCGGCCAATAAAATGTGTCGAGTAGCGGCGTTTTGGCGAGTCGGTCGGTAAAGGAGAAACAAGCAATATTTTATCTTATGCCTCACAATCGGGGGATGTTCTTCTGTCTCTGATCGCGAGTGTCGACGCTTCGCTTACCTCCTTGTCTGTTCTGGCGTCTCATCTTCCTGTAGTCGTTCAGCAGCGGTTCCAGATACTTGAAGACGTCCAGAGAGGATCCAGTCAATCTCATGTAGACTGCCCCCAGAGCTCGAACGTATCTGCCACGGGAGACAGGTCATGTGAGTGCGACGGTGAGCGATGGGGGCAACGCAAATCCACGCACGCGACACACACACTCAGTCATGCATTACAGTTTATATCTCACTCAGTCCTCTATTTTATATCTCACTCAGTCCTCTATTTTATATCTCACTCAGTCCTTTATTTTATATCTCACTCAGTCCTTTATTTTATATCTCACTCACCGTCTTCTATTCCAGTTTATATCCCACTCAGTCTTCCATTCAAATTTATATCTCACTCAATGTCTTCTATTCCAGTTTATATCTCACTCAGTCTCCTATTCCAGTTTATATCACACTCGGTCGCCTATTCCAGTTTATACCTTACTCAGTTTCCTATTCCTGTTTATATCATACGTGAACTCTCGCATTCAGTATTAATGAACTAGCTCTAGCAGTAGCACACTACAGCATTACACTACAGAGTGCGAAATTAACGGGAGTCCGGAGGCAAATACTCCCCGATTTACTGTCGGACTCCCTGATTTGACATCTGCAGGAGTCCGTGTGACTCCCTAAAAATTCTGCTATACTAAGTAACAAGTTTGTTTCTTGAGCACGGCCTCACAGAATTACCGTATTTTTTTCAGCAAATGTCCAAAGAAAATTTGGCAGACGTGCATCGCATGAATCTTCAAATAAGCACATGTTGTATGCGTTATTGTTGTTGTGCTTTAGTTTTGATCTTCAGACTACGGACTCCCTCATTTTGCTACGGACTCCCTCTTTTTGAGGGCAGGGAGTCCGTTGGACTCCCTTGTTCAAAAGTTAATTTCTAACCCTGCACAATCTAACACCATTGTTATACTATCACATGACAAGGCAGGAACACACTTGTCTAGTGCTATTGTGATACTGTAATAATGCAGCTACACGCGCGGCGGCGTTGCCGCGATGACGCCGCGAACGAACGGAAGAACGCACTTGAAGTCCTCGTTCTTGATGAATTCGATGATGATGTCCTTCTCCGGCTGAATCTGCAGCATCTTCAGCAAGAGGCAGAGGAACGGCGTCGGCTTGATGTTGCCGCCGAACACGCCGCCGACGTAACGCAGCTCCATCGCCTTGTCAACGAGAAGCTCGGCTGCAATTAATTAATTAGTTGAATAATTAGTGGATTTATATTTGACGATGGTACGTGATTTTTTCTCTTCGTAAAAAAGACCGTATTAAGTACGTGTACTTTTACATGAATTACAAGCAATAGATTTAATAATAACTATAATAATAACAACAAACAACAACAACAATAATAACAATGCTTGAATAGGCATTTATAATTATATAAATGTTCCAAGTTCTCTTTCATATTGTTATTACATAAATTGCACCGGTCATCCCCGAAGTTATTTCTAAAATAGCTTTTGAGTTCTATCATGCATGTTTTACATTTAAAAGTAAAACATGCGTCTGTAAATGACATTTCTCTCATCGCTGTGGCTATATGCCCGGCAGCTGGCCCCCTAACCCTAACCCTAACACTAACCCTAACCCTCCTGTTTACTTGAGAATTCACTGAAAATTAAAAACTGCCGGGCATTTAGGAAATCGAAGACCGTGCCCGGCAGCCGTCGGATATTTTCTAAGTGTCGATTGCGAGTTTGTTCGCTCAGTGATCCGAAGCTAGGAGAATTGGGCTAGTTCGAATATACAGCTCTAACGAAAATTGCTTGACATTTCTAAACAAATGTAGAATACTTGGGTTTAAATTACTTGAGAAATCACCGAAAATTAAAAACTGCCGAGCATTTAGGAAATCGAAGACCGTGCCCGGCTGCCCGGTATACAGCCACTTCGTTCTTTCATATATTCCTTTAGCCATAAGTTTCTATGTTTATCATCTTCATTTCCGTTTTTTCTTTGGTTTTCATTTGATCTCTTGTTATTATGCTTTTTTAAATAGCTTGTTTTACTTGTTTTTTTCTCAGGCTTTCTTTGGTGTTATTCCTATGGCTGAGAGTGATATTCCTAAATCGTAGTTATCTAAAATTTCCGAGGTTTCGTTTGCCCAATTTTTTTCTTCCTCTTTAGTCTGTTGTATGTACACTGCTGTAATTTGTAGATCTTCACTGTAGTTTCAAACTAAGTTTGTACCTAGGCCTACTCGTGTATTTATATTCCTTTGTTTTGTCTCAATCGTACTACTACTTCTAGTTCTAGCAGTAAATCATTACCACAAAATTCGGCATGTGATGTATTGGTATCTCTAAATTGATCACTACACAGTTGTTGTCTGTACGTTACACAGGCTACGATGCCACTCGTACTAACCTTACCAACATACGATACGATACCTTGTCTCTGGACAATCCTATCTGAAAACCTTGTGCTAAGATTACAATTTACACCAGCAAACAAACGCCATAACGCTGAAGCACATCGAGTTTTATAACAGATATAAGGACAGCGAACAAAGTGAAGACTGGGGAGGGGACTACACTGGGTTACTCAAACCAGCAGTAGAATATGTACGAAAGATATTGTCAATTCGAAGTATTAATATCTAAAGAACTGGAGGTAGGGCCTAGACATAATTTCCTGTTTCTTTAGATAATCCCCGCACCTGCATGCCTAATAGGAAGTGTCTAAACAACCAGATCCGGTTTCGACGTCCTGAAAACTAAACAACCGGCTCTCTTCTCTGATTGGCTAATTTTGTCACTTATTTATTTTATTTTTTATTATTAGAATTAGAAAATGATCAATTTTTATTAATTATTTTAGAATTATGGATAGGGTTAGGGTTAGGGTTAGGATTAGGGTTAGGGTCTATATCCATTAATTTCAAGTAGGTCTCAGTGGCTCAACCATAGAGCTTTCGCTTCGTGATAGCTATGGTGATAGTACTTAAGGTAGCGTGTTCGAACCCCATAAGATGTTTTTATTTTTCTCTGCTTTGTGTATTTCTTTGTATTTTATTTGTTTCTGCATTTATTTGTTCTGTAACTTATGTTTATGTTCGCAATTAAATATAAACGTGGATATTCGTCCGAGCATCTGACATCTGTTCGTATGCGCTATTCGTCCGAGCAT